TCAAATTCTATGTTCAAGTGGAATTCAAATTTGCAAGACATGAGTCAAGATCACAAATTCATAATTCAAGATTTCATCCATTTCAAATTCAATGGCATAAGGGAGATCCATCATTCCAAATTCAAGATTCATGAATTCAAGATTAGATTCAAGAATATTACAAAGGGAAATTTCATTACATTGCAAGAATGTCACATTTGTTACAAAGTTTCCAACTCTAAGTAATGCTTAGAAAATTAAGTTACTTTTAATCTTAATTCAAGTTTCTAATCAACTTCATGCTATGGTACCCTTCATGCTCATTAAGTCTACATGTTCAACATTATGCCTTCATATGATTCATAACCAAATAAGCCTACAAACATCCAAGGAAAACAATTAAGGTTTAATTCAACATTGAAACATTTTAAGATCAAGACCATTAGTGCTTATCCATGGGCAATTTCAAGGAAATTTCAATTTGATTTAAAATAGTCCCATGCATGCCCCAAGCAAGAATTGACAAATTATCTCATAACCAAATAATTTATGTCACAAAACCAAAGGTATGAACTCATGATGATGCATATACATATCAAGTATCAGAATTTCAAAATTCTGTCAAAGGGAGGCATGGACCACAAGGACAGTCCAAGCACAAGCAAATAAATGGGTTCAAGGTTTGAGAGCAATACCAAGTGCGGCAGAAAAAAATAGGCCTAGGAAAGTGTAGCAGCAAGTGCAGAAGAGCAACATTCATGAAAATGGAAAGAAATAGGGTGACATCAAGAAAGTGGTAAGAGGCATTTCTCAATGAAAAATCTGAAGTTTTGAAACAAGTGAGAACCCTATTGCTTTGACTATAAGGGGAAGCCTAATTGGAGAGAAAAGAAGGCCATATTGAGAACAAGAGATAGGGAGAAAACCAGAAAAATAAGAGAGAAAAGTGACATTGAGAACAAAAGAGTTTAGAAAGAAAAACAGAAAAAAGAAAGGTATAAACACAGAGGGAAAGTCTGAGGAAGACACATCCAACAAAGGACAGTGGTGGCTAGAAGGAGAGTAGAAGTTATGGGGTACCCATCTCTAGAAACCTTTCTCTTTTACATTTTCGTATTTTTGCATGCTTGTTTTATTTGTTGCTTTTTATCATTGTTAATTAGGATAACATTTGTTGATGTATATATTGTAATGAGGTCTCAAGAGTGACCTATGTTGTAAAAGAAAACAAAAGAAAAGAGAGAAACAAGAGTGAGTTTTGTGGTGGAATAGTTTGAAAAAAAACTCAAAAGTGCTGTCATGTTCGCTGGCAAGTTTGCACAACGAACTTTGGCACCTTTCGCCTCTGTTTCTGTGAATAATGCGTATTCTGGGCAAATTCATTAGGAAGTTCGCACAATGAACTTGTTGATGTTTTTTCTGGGCAGATTCGGTGGCAAGTTTGCACAGCGAAACTTGGCCCCTTTCGCCTCTGTTTGTGAATAGTGTGTATCTGGGCAGATTCACTAGGAAGTTCGCACAACGAACTTATTGATGTTTTTCTGAGAAAATTTATCAGGAAGTTCGCACAGCTAACTTCTTGCCCATTTTTCAGCTTTTTGTTTTTTATTACTTTTATGCTTTATTTTTGCTATTTTCTTGTTTTCCTTAAAGTTTTTTTTTGTGTTTCAAATTCTTTTAAGTGAAAAGATAAAAAAAATGATAATATAAAAAGAAGAAGAAAAAAATTTGTTATTTATATTTATTGATTAAAAAATTAATTAATTAAATATCCATGCTTAGTTTAAATTAATAATTTGAAGGTACAACTTTGTGAAATTTAACTTGTGTCCTCAAACCAATCAACTTGACATTGTCTTATATTTCATTGTATGTTTATATTAATAATGTCATTCCAACTTGTGTTGCCAAAGCCTTTTTTCAAAACAAACTCTCGATTCTTATCGAGCCATTTTTGACCTTGTAAGTCGATTGCCTTGTGCATTGTCATCAACCTTGTTCGCATCACCTCAAACTTTTTTTAGTAAGAAACAAAACCCTTGACCCAACATCAAGTGGTACTTTTCTAAAAAAAATGTAAAAAAACACAATAAAGATACGATTAGTTTTACACGCTATGGGCTTTAAAGTGGTGGAGAAGGAATGAGAATGAAACCCCTACTACACTCATTTCGAATATTTTGAATACAAGACGCTCGACTTGGATATTCGAGATATTCATCTCTATCCAAAGTCTTTAGTGTGATCCTAATCAAGAACAATTTCTTCTCAAAAACCATAAAAATAACATCAACTCATCAAACTTCTTTTCGCCTTAGGGCATCATTCGAAAACCTTTTTTCAAGGTATAAAACCAACCAACACACAATCATTTCTCAAGTGGCTGAACTACGATCGCTCTGATTTCTCACACCTATTGAGAATACGTAGGCATAGGATTACGATAATCCTAGTGAGCACTCTTCTTTCTTTTTCACCTTAGTCCTCCATTCCTCGTCACCCAAAAAGGACATGTTATGTCTGTTCTACCACAAACAGATAATGCATAAGACTCCACGAGCGAGCTGCAATACACCTAACTGCTAGAACGCGCTTGTTAAGCATCATCCACCCAAACTTCCCATTTTTCACCGTAGTCCCGTGAACTACGAATGCTCTGATTCTTCACTTCTTTTAAGTGAGGATACGTAGGCACAAGGGCCACAATCCTTGGCGAGCACTCTAATAAAAAAACCAACCCCTTTCTCCTTTAAGCAAACAAACTTTTAGATTAAAAACACCCATTCAAGCTAAACAACTTAGAAGGTTCCCATCGAGTACGATGGATGCGAGGGGGTGCTAATACCTTCCCCTCGCATAACCGAATCCCGAACTCTAAAACTTGGTTGCGATTCCCATGCTTTTTTCCTAAAGATTTTATCGTTATTTCCCTTTCCCTCCTTGGGATAAATAAAATCCGGTGGCGACTCTGTATCATTTTTCGTGTAGCGACACCCTCCTTCCTACAATGATAACACCTAATTGCATGAGTATTACTTCCATAAGAATTATTTAGAACCTTACCCTTTTTCTTCTCAAATTTACTATCTTTTTTTAAGAATTTTCATTTGACGAACAATAATTCACCATCAGAAGATGATTTATGCTCACTTCTTTCATTCAGGTCCTTAGAGTACAAGGTTGATTGAACTTATTTAAAGGTTAACAAATCTCTTCTATACAAGATAATTTATTTGAAATGAGAATGAGACTTAGGTAAAGTACACAACAATAATGCTTGATTTTTATCATCAATCTTGATCTCGGTATTTTCAAGATTAAGAATCAACTTATCGAATATATTCAGCTACTCAGCCAAGACTCTATTTTCACTCATCTTGAACGAATACAATGCTTGCTTTAGGTAGAGACGATTGACCAACGATTTAGTCATGTATAATCCTTCGAGTTTCGTCCACCCACCCGCTGCCGTCTTCTCCTTTGAGACCTGCCAGAGAACCTTATCACCAAGACTCAATATGATGACACTATGAGCTTTCTCGATCATCATCGTCTTCACCTTCTTCGATAGGACAACATCCATTTTCTTCAATCCTTTCAACGCTTCTACAAACCCTACTAAACTAGTAGGACTTGCATCTTCAAGCGCCACAAACTGAAATCATTCACACCGGTGAATTTTTCAATCTCATACTTTGTCGACGACATCTTCTCCTCCACGCTCACCGTACCAATTTGTTGTGAATCGATATCGTCAAGAACAAATCAAAATATGAGAAAGACTGAGTTTCTTGAACAAACACAAGAAACCCTATTAAGTTTTATGAAAGAGAGAGAAGAAGGAAGAAGAAGAATCAAGATTCATTATAATTGTTTTACTATTCACTTTTTCTAGCTAATATGATTCAAAGATTACAAGTGAATATTAACAACCAAACTCTCTCCCAATAATCTCAGAGAAAATAGTCTATTTATAGACTACTAAGCTAATTTAAATAACAAACTAACTTAAATAATTGGTTTAACAAACTGACCCAATTCGACATGGTAGAACAAACTTCGACTACAATACACACCATTAGCACTTGCATACTTGAACAGATTTTGACTACAAACATACACAATTCTATCGAACCATAGAACTATCCTTCTTGAAATTCTTGAAATTCTTGAAATTAGAATTTGATCCATATTACTACAAATCCCAACAAGAAACATATAGTGTAACATGCCAACAGATGTCTTTGAGCTTATACAGCTCACTACACCAATTTACTGTGTATTAAGTCTTGCTAGTCTAGATTTGGTTCATATAGTTTAGCGTAACTCATAAAATTCTTTTTGAATTTTTAAAATATATAAGGATTGTTGTAAACCTTATTCTTTCTAATTTTTGAGTGACATTTTTATGGTATCTTTGAGATAATTTAATTTTTTTGTTATTAAATTACCTGTTTTAAACGGTATAAAATCCATTGTCTCCTAGAAAGTTTGCACATATAATCCAGATAAATTTTGAAGGACAATATTCATATTTTTTATAATTGTTTGTATCATAGATTTTATATAAACTATTATGAAAAAATGTGATTGTTTTGTACTAATCCTAGCTTCTGACATCATCATTCATAAAAAAAAGCCAAGCCTAAAAATTATAAACATCCACTCAGATTTTTATCATAGTCATACATGAAAATATATATGGGAATAATCTAATTTATTTTCTATAATTTATCAGTACAAAATATATATATATGAAAGATTTATAGAACACATTACTGCATTCTATATATACCCATATACACTAACATCATTACATTAACACACATTTTCATATGAATGTCTATATATATTGCTAACATCATTTGAGATACACACATTTTTTCATATATTAAAAGTAAAAATCAAACTTAGCAAATATATATAAATCATCTGATAAAAAGTCTCAAACACAAAGATATAATATTTTGATGCTATAGCCTCACTGACACCATGACAGTCCCAAATAACTCACAACCCTCTTATGGTTTACGCAGACTAAGCAACTTAACATCATCAATAACAGGTCCACAAAGAGAAGAAAGATCATCACTTCTCATACTATAAAAAGTACTAAGAAACATCACTCTTGTTCTTGTTCCAGCAGCCACAAACTTAAGAGCAGCGCGTTTGAAACCACCTTTCCCTTTGGATTCATAAGGCACTTTAATGGTGTCTCTACCAGCAAATGCTTCAACAATCATTGAACCTTGACATGCATTGCTTGCATCACCAACAGAAAATGAGAGAACATAGGTTTTGCCTGGAATTGTTCTAGCCACTTGTGCTATTGCACTTTCTTTACCTGCTACTAGCTCTATTGCTCTTGTTCCTTCTGGAACTGAGAAATGGTCTGAGTCTAGGTACTTTACTGCTTTTAAGGACTCTACCATCCATCCTGGGAGAGGTGAATGGTCATCTTCTATGTTTGGTGGGATAATTACTCCATAGGATGAGTTTGGAATTATGTAAGGTCCTTCTTCAAATCCACCATTCTTTAATATGTTCTCTGTAATATGTGAAATATTTTATTCAATTCAAAGTAGAAAATAACTATTCTATTCTAATGTCAGAAATTACTTTAATTTGAATTTATGCTGGTATTTCTACTAGTAGCTAGCTACAACACAAGTTCAATAGTTAATTGCATTTCATTAATAATGATAGTAACATTCTACCTACCTATTCTGGTTTTGTGTATGTATATATTAATTAATACAGACCCACCTATATTGGTTTTTATTGTCTGATATCTATATATGCATGAACATGCTAATATATATTTAAGTAGCTACCTTAATAGGTATTAATCCAGCTATGTTCTCTTGTATGCTATTAATGTTTCATGCTATATGTTATCAGACCATCAAAGTTTAACCGTAATAAACTTTGAATTCCGGATCACAGATTTTGACTGTAACAAACTTTGAGTTCTGGGCCACGTAGCCTGTCTTCAAAGACGGCCCTGGATCTTAAGGAGTGTTACATCAAATCAAACATGTGTTTCATTGTTGACATGTGAAGATTTGGTAATAGGCCAATAGGCTATATAGCACCGAAAAATGTTTGTAGTCTATGTCATGTCAAACACCGAGTAGACACTTGTATTTCGTTCAATTTATTTATTTTTAAAAATTACTAGTAATATAACGTGTCAGTATTAGTGTCGTGTTTGATATTTATGTCAGTGTCGTGTCTTGAGTCGGTGTAAAAGCCAAAAGTAATAAATCTAAAAGAGAAAGATGAAGAACTTACTATTAGTAGGTCTAGGAGGGTAAAGAGTTCTAAGAGCAACAGAATCAATAAGAGGTCCACAAGCAGGATCTTCTTCAACACCAGGATTATGAATAACCATTTCCACAACATCAAACTCAGCTTTGAATCCATAAGCAATAGGATCCCAACCACTACTTGTATACAAAGTTTGAATAGGAATAACACCAAAATCAGGAGCAACAGAAATATTAATTCTCTCTTCTTGTGCACAAGTACGTGCCACCATAAAAGTGATTGAGTAGTACATTCCCTTAATCACTTTTATTCTTTGTTTAATAGATGCTTCATTTCCTAATCTCACTGCATAAGCACCTTCTGGTACAACCAGTAACATGTCACCTTGTTTTTGTCCTGATTTTATGTATTCTACTAATCCTGAAATTTCCCATTCTGGTATTGAGTTTTTGCCTCCTGTTACTATTGTTCCTTTTAGCTCTGATGGTTTTGGACCAAGCTCGAAATTCCCATTTGCCACAAGACCTGTTAATTAAGGTTAATTAGGTCACATTAATGTTGGTTTAGTCTTCCTTAATCTAGATAGAAACATGTTTAATTAGAAAGAGAAAAAACAACAACACTATTCTAGTCCAGTTATTATCATTGGAAAAGAAGATTTTGTCCATGAACCGACACTAGTAGATAATATAGACAAACAAATGATAAAATGAATAGAAAAGTTTGAAAACAACAGTAAAAAACAAACTATTTTAATCTTTTTTGTTTAATTAAGAAGGAGAAAATTCAAAAATTCATCACTAAATTCGGGTCACGTGGTGGCCTGTAGCACCTATCTATTTGTACATTCATGAATCCCTTAGTTGGCATACAGCGCCATGTGATTTTTCAGACCAATCTGTGTCCTTTATTCATTGGGCCCCATAACATTTATTTATGTATGAACACTACACTATATTCATTAACCGCAGTATAAAACACCATTGAATGTGAACACTACACTACATTCATTAAAAAGTATTTTTCAACAACACAATCTATAATGAATAAAAATACTAAAAAATCAATAATGTAGACATTATCATAAAGTATATGTGTTTATAATGTAACTGACCGTCGCTGAAGGAGAGGGAGACATGGAAAGTGGAAGAAAAGAGAAGAGACAGAAACATGAACACTTTCTTCATGATGATGAGTAGTTTCTCTCTTTAAGTTTGGGAAGAAGATATGAGAAAGAAGGAAGAAAGTGAAAGTAGCAATGCAGCAGAGTACGGGATGGGCATGGCCTTATATGCATGCTTTCTTACCAAAACAGACTTGTAGTTTCACTCAAATATCAAATATGCCATTCAATTATTATTTTCAAATTCTTTCTTTGACGGATTTGCCCCAATATTCTTCTTTTTGTATTTTATATTATTGCACATGGTTGGCAGATTTTTTCGAAAAATTAAGGAATAAGTAAGTTAACATATAAGGATATAGATTTTATATGGATAACATTTATCAGAAATAATATATATATATATATTAAATGCATTTTTTATTTTGACGCATTTTTTTATTTTGGTCCTTGTAATTTTTTTAATCTAAGTCCCTTCTTCATCAATATCATATTTAGACTTCAAAGTAAAACATGTTACTTTAACTTCATGTTTTTCCAACTAGTCATGATCCAAATCATGTCTTTTCAATAGATTAAGTTTCATTTCATGCTCTTGAAATTTGTCAAATAATGCAGCCAATGCCACTTTAGAAAGATTATTCTTTTTAGATATTGTCGTAACTTTTGGTTGTCATGTTATAGATAATGATTTAAGAACTCTGAGATTTAACTCATTATTTGTGAATGTTTTTTCAAAAGATGCCAAATGATTTGTCAAGTGTGTGAATCTCTTATGCAAATCAAGAATATTTTCATGGGGTAGCATTGTGAACAATTCATATTCTTGAAATAAAGTGTTCAATTTTGATATTTCGACTTGTTCGATTCCTTCATGTTTTACTTCCAATGTGTCCTAAATCTCCTTGGTTATTTTGTGATTTAATACTCAGAAAAATCTGTCCATTCCCAAGGCAGATGCAAAAATGTTTTTGCCTTTTTATCAAACAACACTTTCTTTTTGTCGTAATCATTCCAATAACCTTTCACCTTTAGTTGTTCTATATTATTTATGACAATTATTGGAATGAAGGGTCCATTGTTGACATCATCCCATATTTCTTCATCTTGTGCTTCTAAATATATTTACATTCAATTTTTTTTAAAGTCATAATAGTATTCACAAATGAAATAGGGAGGTTTGTTGCTACTGCCACCATCAGTTAAGAACGATTTTGCAAACGACATATCTACCTGGATCGAGGAGCAAGTTACCTTAACCCACTATGATGTCAAATGTAAGTATGAAATGCAACCTAAGAGAGAGGGGGGATGAGTGAGTTAAGGTTGCCTGATTTTTATCATTTTTGCGCTATGTGCTCAATATTATTTTGATATGAAAAAGATATGTTCTTAGCAATAGATAAAGTGAAAAAAATTAAAAAGCAGAAAATATAAATGACACAAGGATATATTTTAATTCCCCTTATCAAGTAAGGGTACATCTAGTCCATTAATACCTTGAAGGATTTTCCACTATGTTATATCTTTATATAAGTCTCACACCAAGACCTCTCCTAAAATATTCTAACATAAGCACCAAACCTATGGCGGACTTTTTCACAAACACCAACACTATGTTTGACCTTTTTAGAGTTCAACGTAGTTCAATGAACCAAGTGTATATCAAGAGCTTGATTATATTGGTGTAGGTTACTCATTGTTTCAGAGTGTTTTTGGATAACATGAAGCATTTTAAAATTTGGTTCTTCCTTATTACTCCTCTATACAAAGAGGCTTATAAGACAATATGCACCGTTGGAATTGAGAAGGAGAATATGTGTGTTGGTTTATTTCATAAGCACATGAAAAAATATCATTTCTAATGGGGAATAGATCATTGGTATGCAAGGAAAGTGATATGTCCCAAGATGAGCTTTATCTAAAGAAACAACTAACTAATTTCTTTAAAAAGTTGGGTTACGTTGGGGTGTCCCTCCCTGGGATGAATCCTCAAAGAAACATTTGAATTGGATTGTTGAAACTCGCCTGCTGATGAATGCTCTTACTAAGGACGATAAGAAGGTCATTTTTGTAATCTCCCAATATTCTTTCTCTATGTCATCCATTTTTTATTGTGAAATATGGGCCAACACAATGATATTTCACATGATGGTGAGCAAAAGAAAAGGAGTTATGTGGGTTCCATATGTTTATTTTGTATCAAAAGTCTTGAAGCACATTGACTTCAATGTTTAGGATGTGGAATTTGAGTTTAAGTTGGCCGGGATAAGAAAAATTGAGGTAGGGCTAATGAGAATTAAGATCAATGATCGATTTATATCTCAAAATCCCCATATGTCCAGAAGAGCCACTCAAGGACGACAAGCACCTAAACAAGCATGCCATTCAACTCTGAAGGATTTTGATTATGAAATCCCCTAAACTCCTCCAACCCAAGTTGTCCTCCAAACTATCATCAGAGAATAAAAAAAGACCAAATAGAATATCAACTTATTGGCACATGAGCTTGCTTAGATTCACCTGCCATCTGAGTTGTTTAGTGATGATGACTAGGACACATTATAATCCTTGCTTGTTTGGTTTTTGTTTTTGTTTATGTTTTTGTGTGCTGCTTTTTAGCCCTTCTCCTTTTGTACTTTAATCATCCTTTTTAATTAATTAAGTGTTTTATTTATTAAATTTAAATGATAATTCCTTTCTTATCTCTTGATCTATGTGCTTAGATGTATTATATATTTGTTTATCTTTTCCCTCCTTTTTTTTATAATGTCAAATGGAAAGAAATATATTCTTAGGAGGAGTAGGGTATACTCTCTATATTTGTCATAGGGAGTTTAATCACTCCAATCCTTCACCTTTATTTCTTTGTTTGTCTATCACCATGAGAAATGCATTGCCAACATAAAAAGGGGTACAATATGGATCTATGTACTTGCAGGTATAATGCATGTAGCAGTCAGTAGACTTATATGATTTTGATGATGACAACACCAAGAGGTGAAGTATTCATCTGAAGTAATGATAAAGTTGTTATGATTGGGAGATCAAGATGTCAAATCCAATCTCTTAAGAACAACACCTATGTCAAGGGGCATGCGGTGAAAACCTTGATGATATCTAATCAAGCAATCTCTTTGGTGATAATGTCTATCGAGAAACTATATTAATGCTCATTGGATATAAGAACACAAATACTAAATTAAGTGTTAAATTATTGATGTATTTAGCAAGGGATCTTAAAACTTCTGAGTTCATGAAAAAGAGGAAGTGTGAAAGCTCACCTAGTCCATGTCTGTGTGATCAGAGTCTTGTAAAAGAAATTAGAGTAATTCCTAAATTATTAAGGCAACACATTCACCTAAAAGTGTTTTTAACCTCTATATTTTGATTAAACTCCCTAAAATCCTTAGAGGAACCATCAAGGTGTTTGTCGAATTGATAAAGGGCGTTCCTAAAAATTTATATACATTGCCTAATCGATTAAGTCCCTTATCCAATCCATTAGAGAAATGTTTAATCTTCCTAAACTATTAAGAAAACTCCTAATATATTAAGATACTAGTCGTTGTAGGGTTTACATTTTGGGAATTAGGGTTTTCGTTTTTATGAAACACATAATCGGTTATACTTAAGGCATAATAGATTACAAGTATTAAAAACCCCATTGATAATTTTCCTTTTTGAGCTAGATTTCTCTCCTATAAATAGATGATTCTCCTTAGTTTTAAACTACATCACAAAACATGTTTTAAAACTTTTTCTCACTCTCTACTCTTTTTCTTCTCATTTATTTCATTTCACTAAAGTTGCCTTAGTTTATTAGGGGTTAAAAATATCAATGAGGATTTTCTTGTGTATTATGGTGCATGGGTAATATTGTAATTTGCAAAAGAGATTTTTTTTATCTCTTGTGGAAAATATCATTGTGGGAAGTTTCTGTTTGGTTTATGAGATTGTGTATGAAAATAACTGTTTGGTTTGTGAGCTTTTCCTGGTGTAAATGCTCGTATTTGGTTTGTGAGATTGTCTGTGAAAATTTCAGTTTGTTCCATGAGTTGTGCCTTGTGTAAAAGCTCTCATTTAGTTTGAGATTAACCTAGTATAAAATCTCGTGTTTGGTTTGGAAGATAGCCAATGTAAAACTCCAAGTTTGCTTGTAAGAAGGTTTGTGGGCATAATTTGCAAAAAGCTCACATAAATAATGGAAAGTATCAAGAAGAAATTCTTGTGAAGAAGAGTAGGCCAAATAGTTAGTCTAAACCTCTATAAGTCTCTGGTGCATATATTTTTATCCCATATCTTTTTTTTATTTACTTATTTCCGACGTGCCTCATCTCTTCTTACTTGGATTTCTTTCTATTTATGTATTATGATGCTTACTCTTTACTTATGTTGTAAAATTGATAGAATAATTAAACTCCTTTTAGAAGAAATTGTTCAGAGTTCAATCACACCAAGAAATTTGATGCGTGGGACAAAGAACAATGACAACCAAACAAATGACCTTCAACAATAATAACCTTTAACTCTATAAGAAAGTGAATTAACTTAGCATAAGAAGATAAAAGAAGGCGAGAAACATAAAATGTTTGTTTATCCAGTTCAATCAAATGATCTATGTCTAGGGGAGAGAGAAACTCTCTAATTCATTATACTCCAAAAGTTATTACAGGAGATTGCAAATGAGTTACAAGAAAACAATCTTATAAGTTCCCAAGAACAAATCCTATTTTCTATTCAAGTGTTTCCTGACCTCTCAAACTCTTAATGTAGTAATCATACAAACCCAAGGTGTTTAGAAGTATTGCCTGATCCTACTAGCTAACTCCAAAGATTTCCCTAAACCTTAAACCCTTTAACTATAAATCTCTCAAGATTGTCACAATACAATAACATAAGAGATACATATTTATAATCACTAAAACCCAATATATCTATAACAAATCCCAAAATACAACCCATTAATAAACTGATCCGCGAATAAGCCTGAAATTATGTCAGTACCGGAATATGGCATTTCCCTTCTCTTTTCTCACTTGAGGTTTTGAGGCATATTACAAC